TGATTATCTAAAGGATCCACACCTGGCTTAGTACCTACCACACACAAAAAAAATAAAAATATAGAAAAATTACTCTATATACAATGAGCTAGGACTTTATAGGGAATAGAATACAATTTGCTTTAGACAACAGAAAAGCTACTAAGCAAATGGAATTAGACTTGGGAGGCTGAGGCAGGAGAGTTGTTTTGAGTTCAAGGCTAGCCTTGGCAGCACAGTGAGCCAAAGGCCAATCAGTGAAAACACACCTGTATTCCAAAAACACTTTCAAATTAATTAGTCAGTATTCATTTTATCATTAAACAATACTGTCATGATAACAAGGATCCAAAGGACCCAGAAACGTCTATTTAACTGGTAGATTTGGTTGAATCAGAAGATTTATTTCCCAAGTTGGCTTCCAAATGAGAATATTTACTTCTTTTTATGTCCCTTTCCTGCATGTAATCTATGTGTTTTTAGTGACCAGTAGCTGTAAGAGGATAGTACTATGTTGCAAAGGTAGGTGGTTTATTAATTCCTGGCACCTATAATTTTGTTTCATGTTTCTGACTTAAATGCTCCAAATGTTTAATTTGCCTGAAAATCTTTTCCTTTTTCAAAAATCAGCCCAGATGTTGTTAGAATCTCATACTGTTTATTTCCAAAGAGGCTGTATAGCTTATGGTAGTTGCGCTTGCAGTACATGGACTAGGAATCATATGGCCTTGTCTTGGTTATTTTTCTCTCGTTGCTGAGACAAAATACCTGACACCCAAAATTAAGGAGGGAAAGGTTTATTTAGCTTACAGCTTGTGGAGGTTCCAGTCCATACTTGTCTGGCTCCAAGGCAGAGGGGCACATGGAGGAGGGTAACAGTTCAGGGTGGTGGAAGACAGCAAAACAACAAGAGCAAAAAGGGAGGAGTCGTGGCAAGCAACCTCTTTCCTTCCCTTACATTGTATGCAAACTACCCACCCCAGGGTGGGTGTAGTACTCACACCCATAATCCCAGCATTGGACTATGAATCAATCATAAACTCTAAAAGCCCGCCCCATGACTGCATGAGGCTTTGGGGGGACATCCAGACATAAATTGTAACAGGCCCAAACTAAGAAGAAATCCCATGTCAGTCACTGACTAGTATCATGACTCTGGGGGACCATATCACCCCCCCCCGAACCTGTTTTATCATATTTTATCTACAATATGAATGACAATGATGCTACCTTCTTCAAAGGGCTGTTGTAAATATTAAAGAAATATGTAACAGACGTACAACAGCACAGTGTCTGGCACTGAGCAGGAACTGAGAGCTACTATACTACTGCTCTTTTCACAAGGTATTACAGTTTATGTATCTATTTTCACTGTACATTTTGAGGCCTTTGAAAGCTGTTTCAATCTTTATTTTTAGTTCTAGATCCAGTATATAGCAGGTACCCTGACGACAGCCAGAAAGACAGGTGGCTTGAATTGGAGACCTAAGTTCTTTTCTATGGGGACAAGATAGGCTACGATTTAACCTCCACCTTGCTAGGTCTAGGGAAGCAAGACTTCACAATGGCTCCTGTGAAGGTTTTAACAACATGCAACAGGCTCCAAATTTTAAAGCTGCAGAAGTTTTAAGTATGGTATGTAGAATTAGAAGGAAAGTATGTAGAATTAGAAGTATGTAGAATTAGAAGGAAAGCTAGTTGGGGAGTGAGGAATTGCAGGAGTTCAGGTAAGAAGGCACTAGGACAGACTACAGTAAACAGCAAGAAGTAAAGCTGGATCTCTATTTCCAAGGGTCAATGGAGAGAGACAGAGTCCTTGTGGCTAGGTCAACTGCAGAATGCACTTATGGAATGTATGCAAATTTATGCGCAAGGAGGAACAAGTTAAGGTACTACATATTATTAACTGTCATCCCCAAGACTTAGACACAGGTGACAATTTTTCTGTTCTAAAAGAAGAAGGCAATCTAGATTTGACCTTGGCCCAACGGTTTATTGCTTGTATAATGCTGGGAAAGAGCTGGGGTGAATGCCATTGTGAATCTCAGTTTCCAAATCCATGCATGTCTCTGGGTGAGTGACAACATCAAGTGTCCGACTGCTTAATCTTCAGTCCTTCATACAGCTGACTATGCTAAGGATGTCAAGTTGTTAAAATGTGCAGCACTGTTGTATCTCTAGGAAGATGAATCTGTAGAGCTTCTCTCAATGCTTCCTTAAACATTTATCAAAGTATAAAAAACAGCTAACAAAATTATTTATTTATTTACTTACTTACTTACTTACTTACTTACTTACTTACAGAATCTCGCTATGCAGTTCAGGCTGGCCTTGAGCTCACTTTGTAGCCCAGGCTGGTCTCAAACTCGAAACAATCCTCCTGCGTCAGCCTCCCGAGTACTGCGATTACACATTGTGTGCCACCACGCTTGGCTCCAAAATGACTATTAACAGTCACATGTTCAAATATAATACTGTATTAATATTTCAATGCAAATTTTCCTATCAAAAGCCAAAGATTGCAGCTGGGCGTGGTGGTGCACACCTGTAATCCCAGCACTCCAGAGGCTGAGGCAGGAGGACTGCTGCGAGTTCAAGGTCAGCCTGAACTGCACAGCAGGACTCTGTCTCAAAAAGACAGAAAGTCAAAGATTCTGCCAAATTCTAAACACAGATAAATGTTAAATTGAGATTAGACGGATTTTGAATTTTTTTAAAATTGTGACATGCTCTATCAAAATATGAAAGTAATGGAATAAAAAGGTGACACTGTATTTAGCCCCCTTAAAAAAGCTGATCTGACAATGTAATAGTAATTATAATAGTAAGTTTACTACAACTAGTAACTTAGTTTAAAACCTTTCCACTTGTCATTTATTTTCTCTTTAGTGATAAAACTTTGAAACTGGTGAATGCTCAGGAATCATAAGGAAAAAGAATCTGCAACTAAATACCCATAATACTTTCATAGTACCTAGTAAATTCAAACTCTTCAAACTTTAAACATTCTCCATAATATGATTCTATCCAGTCTACTCTTACTTCCTGCTACTTGTGACATTAATGCTTCAGTAGTGTCCAGCCTCCTTTAAGCTCTCAACCTCTCCTTTTTACTCACTTCTGAACCCTCGTGTGTGGTAGAGAGGTACAGTGCATTCTTCTCAGCTCTCTCCCGGGACTTCTGACCAAGGCCTACCTAAACCCAGGACTTTGACTACTCTTAACCTTATCCAAAACTGTTCTAATCTTTAATTTATATGATTTAGCTCTGTCACAGTAGCAAATTTTACCCTGTTCATTAGTTTTCAGGTTTGTACAAGGTAACAAACTACTTTCACAAGTCCTACATTAAAAAAAATCCATTGCTTTGTTTTTGTTATTTTTTCCTCTTTAAAAAAATCCAAAAGTTAAACTTTGCGTGAATTCTTTTTTATTTTTTGTTTGTTTTGTTTTGTTTTGTTTTGTTTTGCTTTTTGAGACAAGGTCTCACTATGTAGCCCAGGCTGGCCTTGAATTTGCAGAGATTCTCCTGCTTCAGCCTCTTGAGTGCTGCACTACCATACCTGGCCATCATGTGATTTATTTTCTGCTAATTTTAATGAGGAAAATATTTTTAGTGGAGACATGTAGCAGATAAAACTAGTATCTGCTGACTTATTTTTTTACTTGGTTAAAAAAATAAAATCTACCTAGATATAATTTTCTTAGCCTTCAGAGTTGGTAAAATTAAAGGTGTATGCCACGATGCCCCACAGAGAGCAACTTCTGAACACAAGAATAATTATTAGGGTTTTCAAAAGAATAAGTATTTCCAGAAAACGCTTACCATAACTTATTCTTTTATACACAGCTTAGGTAAAAACATTATAGAAATGCACACAAAAAGGTAAGGGTTATATGTAAGATTCTGAACTGCTCAAATTTATCATGGCTAAAGATTAACATTTACATGAATGACCCTTACTATTTCAAGACTATTTTTAAGACTGAATTACATCTAAGATTTATTTTTGTTTTGTTTTGTTTCTTCTTCAGTCTGAATTTACTCTTAGATTGAAATACCTCTAGGAGGTATTGCCCAAAAACACTTAAGACTTCAACTGAAAGGTGTAATACCAGGAAAAGGTAATGTCTAAACTTTTTCCTTTGAGGTTTAGGTTCATTTATTGTTTTTTTTTTTTCCCTGTGGCGGTACTGGGAACTGAACCCAGGACCTTCACACTTTAAGTTCATCTAGTGGCAAAATGAATTTCTTTTCCTTGTTTTTTCTTTTTTAAACAAATCAAGTTTACACTACTCTGTCATATCTCATTACAGTGAACAAACATTATTTTACAAATAATTCAAAATGAGAAACATACTTCATGTTGCCAGATATTTATCATTAGAAAATAATAAAGAACAAAGAAATTGACCAAGAGCCATATTATTACAAGTATCACTCTAGTCAAAACACTTTAGTTCAAATAATTTAAATTTGTGTAATACTTGGTAAATTTCTGAAAATTTCATAGGTTGAATCTCATAGATTCTAGGTAATGCCACTTTAAAAAGCACTCAAATACTAAGAAATCTGTTAACTGATATTAGGCAAGTATCCTTTTTTGCAATCACAGTAATACCACGAGAGGGAAAAGAAGGCAAGAGAAAAAGACTTCCCTCTACGCACAAGAGTAAGTACCACAAATCTATTCTACAGATATAAGACAAAATTTGGTTTAACTGAAGTAAATACCTAGGTTACCTGTCCAGAATTTTCAGAGTATAATAAAAAATAAAATATCTGTCAGTAAATATTAATTTATCATTTTAGGTCATGATTAAGGGTTAAGGAAATAAATCCTTAATATTAGAACAGAAGGATCCTTTGTAAAAAGACAATATTCTAAAATGTTGTATTAATGAAGAATTTATACACAAAATTTAGCATGAAAGACTCACTCTTATAACCCATAATAAAGGGTTGTTAAATACAGAGGAAGGAAGAAAGAAATATGTGAAGATCAAAACTTATCACTTACCTCATGATTCAGCTCTGCTATCTGATCTTTCAGTTCCCTAATGTACTGGTTAGAATCAGACTTGCTAAGCTGTCCTTGAAGCTTTCCTTCTTCTTTCTGTTTGGTATAATAAAACAAAGCAAAAACAAGAGACAGTTTTCACAGTACATTCTCAAATGTTTCCAGATACAAGGCAGCATAAAGATACACCTTGTAATCAGCTGAATTCTGATCAAATCCATTCATAAAACTACCTTTGGAAGTAACAGGGCATTAAACAGTATTTCTGAGTAATCCTTAATGGAAGTTGTTTACAACCCATATAATTTACAAAATGCACCTTCTGAGAAATCTTAGAAATCAATTATAAAACAGGTCCTCTGATGAAAAATTACCCTAACATTTCAAGGCCATTTATCTAGTTGTTTTGTGGGCAGATGTTTCTCTATCCAAACCATAATGAGATTCCTGCAACTATACTGGGGAACTGCTTTTGCATGAAAGGGAGAAAGGAAGAAATGAAAAAATTGTCTAAATCACTAAGGGGAGAACAGCTGTGAATCTCCTTGTATAATCAGCTTAGGAATGTGTACTGGGAATCTAAATATTGATTAAAAGACAATCCCAATCCTAAGAATTACTTCTCGAAGAGAGGTAGAACCATTTTCTAGGGGTATAGATTACAAAGAGAATTCTTATTCAAACAAATGTGAACTTCTTAGATAACAGACACTTTAAAGAGTGAAACCAGAATTATTTGTGATATCTCTAAATTATTATAATTCTGAAACCATGTGTTGATATTTAAAAATGTTTAGAAGCTCTGATTCAGAGATATCCAGTGAAATTGCAAAATAACTCCTGATACCAGAAGGGTATGGACTTACTGTTACAGCTGCCACCTTCAGTTTCTTTCCAACTATTGTTAATAGTTTTCCAGTGCAGTCCCCCCATGATGGTTTGTATACATACAATGAGTATACACATGACTATACAGATACGTGTTTTCCCCTATACTACAGACTATATATACTGTTCTGCACTTTGCTGTATCTCTCAATATTAGATTTTAGAGTTTTGAAGTCCCTGCAAAAGTTACCTTAGTGCTGAGTGTGTGTACATACAGAGTCTGCCCAAAAAATGTATGCACATTTCAGCAGTCTGCTGTACTTAGAAATGTCTGGAAACTAATGGCCACAATTTTGAGCACCTCTTGTAACTGCAGAAGCCAAAGGTAACTTCTATTAATCTCACAATGTCTCAATAAATTTAGTATTAAAATATTTACATGAGTTTTTCTTTTCCTGCTGTAATAACTTTTTTGATGGACTCTATACACACACACACACACACACGTATGTTTTGGTGGTCCTGGAGATCGAACCCAGGTTCTTCACACTGACCTACACCACCAACAATTTTTGTATTTTTTATTTTGAGACAGTCTCATTAAGTGGCTAAGTTGCCTGGGCCGGGCTCAAACTTGTGATTCTCCTGCCTCAGCCTCACAGAGTGCTGGAATTATAGGCATGTGCCATCACACCCAGCTTAGGTATTTTAAAAGTAGGTTTTAAAATGTGTCTGAGGTCTTGTACCATTGCCTTGAGACCAATATGTTGTAGTGAAGAACATTTTCGAAAGTGGAGATTCTTCTTATAATCTTTTAAGATCACAGTAAGACGGGGCCTTGGACATCTGGTTTATACTCTGACTGCGGCCAAGTCCACGTTCCATTTTCTATATACTTTCCTCTAACATCCTTGGCAGGAAGAAGTAAGTGGAAGTGTCCCAGCAACTTATTCCAAGAATGGATAGCTACCCTGTACAGTCAAAGCACCAATGCCACACTGCTCTTTTGAATTAACAATTTTTGCTACCTTGATTGCATCCTGAGCTACCCTTACTCTGATATTCAAATCTTTCAAGTTATTCCTATATGACTTCCTTTTTGTTTATTATTTTTCTTTTGACAACTTGTCTCCAAAACCCTTTTATTAAAATATGGCCTGCTAAACTAGTTCAGTAGAACTAATATTTGTACAGATGTAAAAGCACGGCTATCACATCTACATGTTTTCCATATATATTTAAACAAATCTCAGACATAATCATTTAAGCAAAGAACTATCTTCACAACTACTATAATCCAAATATGTTAGGTGTCTTAAAAATATACAAAAACACCATATAATTTTTAGCCATAAGCCTTTATTTAAGAAAAAATAAATTATTCTTTTTGAAATTTCAGTTATATGACCCTATGGCCAGAGAAAAGGCAGAACCAATAGACCAGTGGGGATAGTAAGTCAGAATCCTAACAAAACAACTCTGAAGTCTTCCTTGTTTTTACATTTACATGAAAGAATAACGTCCCTTTATAGTATAAACCAGCTTGAATATACATTTCTGTCATTTGCAACCAAGTACATATTAATAGCTAACCTATCCTGGGCATCTAGAAGCCCTTCTCAAGATTCCCTGAAGAAATTAAATCCCAATGCCTAGAAGAGGGGGCTATTTACATCACTGAAGCTCTAAAAGTTCACTGCTACTGGCCTACAGCATTGTTGTATGTAAATGATCTAATATTACTGTGCATATGGATAATTAGATGAGGATCATTCATCTGGACATTACATTCAGGTATCCTTTTGGGGTTTTTGTTATTTTTGTTGTTTAATTTTTGTATCATATATTCACTACCTTGACTGATTAAATCACTAGTAAGAAGATGTGGGTAACATGAAATTATTGGGGCAAGGAAGGTGATAAAGTCCAAGGTAAGTTTGAATATTACAAGGAAGTGATTAAAGAATAAAGAAAGACCTGAGGTTTGAAAGGCTGTAGAATTCTTTCTTATAGGGAAATTTCAATTAAAAAAATTCTGGCAAAACAGGAAATCATTAAATCTGTTTTACCAAAAGCAATCAAGTGACTCAGAAGATCTGTTTCCTACTAGCTAAAAACTTTGATAGCACTTTGATTTCTTAAAGAAAGGCAGTATTTGGTGAACAAGAGGGCACCTAAGAAACTTTACAATTTAAAAAAAAGGAATGTTAACTTAAAAAACAGCCCTGAAAATACACTTGTAAAAATCAAGAAGTCTTCTTAGACTTTATGATCTTAAAAAGTCCCTCAACTTCTTTTCATTGAATAAAAGGTCAAAATTTGAAGGAGAAAAACCTTCACATATTTATGTCTAATTGTATGCAGTTGTCCTTTTTGATATTTAAATTAATGTTATAAAACATAACATTCGGTTTCTTCTGCAAGACCAAAAAGTCAAACTATGATGCCCATGAACCTACTTTGTGAAGACAGAAAAAGAGTAATAATTTTTAATGCATATTAAATAAGCTGATAAAAGAGGAAGGGTGATAAGCAGCTGCTGGCTCTAAAAGTGACATCTGGACAAGACAATATCTCATCATACTTGTCACACATTTGTGGCATATCAGTGACAGAGATATCAGTTGGAAAGCTCTGCATGGGGTGTTCTGATTCAAAAGTCTGCTTAGAGTATAGCTGATATCTCTAAATTAAAAGTAAAAAGTGACATGTTCTAAATGCTACTTAGTTAAAATGTTTAAGAGACTTTTATCTAAAAGGCTGTGGTTTTATAGTCTGCTAACACATTCTCATTTTAAAATGTTAATCCAAAGCCCTTTAGGATCCTCTATGAAAATTGGGCATAATTTACAGTATCAAAAACATACTAAAGAATTACTTTTTTTTTGGTACCGGAAATCGAACTCAGGACCTTGTGCTTGCCAGGCAGGTGCTGTGCCACTGAGCTATATTCCTGGCCCCTGAAGAATTACTATACTCCAAAAAGGAGACCATAATTTAATTTTACTTGGGACAGCTCATTCAATTACCTAATATTTTAGATTTTTTCCCCACATATTTTTATTGTTTTCTATTTTCAAACAGTGTCCACATGTTTGTTTCTGATAAGCAGGTAGGAAAATGTCAGCTAAACTAATAAATTTACCAGAAACCTGCATTTTCTTGAGGTTTTCTTTTGGTTTAGCTGATAACAACAGATTGCACTTAGCTGGTTTCCTAAGTAAAACAACTGGTAAGTAACAAACTTAAAGAAAAAGAGACTCAATATATCAAAAGTTCTGGTATACTGTGCTTTTATAGAAGAGACCTTAGGGGCTGGGGATTTAGCTCAGTGGCAAAGCGCCTGCCTGGCAAGCGCAGGTCGTGAGTTCAGTTCCTGGTACCAGAGAAAAACAAAAAAAAAAGAAGAGACCTTAAATATATACCTCTTGTCACATTATAAATGGAATTTTATATTAAGAGAGCATAAAGTAACATTTGTAAAAGGTATAACGTACATTCATTCTTGGGTCTTCTGATAATTATGCTGGCAATTACCATTATGATGCCTATAATAATCTGATTCACACCTTAAGGCAGAGAGTTTTGTACCTGTGGCTTTTAATCAAAAAGACTATAAAAACAATGTTATGCAAGTTTCAGTGTATAGTTGTAAAGTATAACACTTAATGTAACTGACTGTGAAACAGATAAAAACTAACATGGCTAGAATAGTAGATAGATGAGTACCTCCAAAAGTAACAGAAAAACTAAGTACAGCAGAATATTAGTGGTAGAATGGCACAGTGAATTTATGGATGTTTACTCTATAATTCTTTCAAATTCTGTATGTTTGAAAATTTTCATAATAAAATACTGGGAAGAAAAATTATCAATACAAAACAATTCATCCTCCACTATCTGTTAAAAACTAAGCACTGGCCCACTTAGTACTTCATTAACTTATATGAAAGATGTATGTCTTCCAAAGTCATCTTAGTGATTCTACCTTTTGTTTAAGAATAAATATTACTTTCTTTACAATTTATTAGAAATTTAAAGTGAAAAGTAATACAGATTAAATACCCCTTCTCTAAAAAAATTAAAACCAGAAGTGTTTTAGAATTCAAAAAATTTTTGTATTTTGGAATATTTGCATAAACACACTGAGACATACTGGAGGTGGAATGCAAGTCTAAACAAGATGCTTATGTTTTATGTACTTCTCATTCACATTGGCTGAAAGTAATTTTATACAATATTTTTGGTGCACCTGTACTTGACTACAG